AGATCTGTCAAGCCCGATTTGGAAGGAGACTCCCTCATTTGGGATTAATTTCCAGGCAGATTGGGAAATGTATCTCTATGGGGTTTTCTTTTTTTTCCTTCTCCTTTCCGCCCCGTCATAACTATCCTCAAAACTTTTCAAACTGATTTATTTCTCCGAGTTTACAGCTTTCCTTGCTGATATACCGCCGAGGCGAGACCAGGGCGACCGCGTTTAGAAGGGTAATACGCCGATTTCAGCGTTACCGCTGCTGAAAGGTGCCTCGCATACAAAAAGCGAACGAAACACCCTCCCTTCCCAAAACAAGGAAATAATAGGGGGACATTAAAACATTGTTAGAGTGATATGCTCATAAATCAAGCATTTCCCTTGAAAGTGCTAAACCTGGAGAAGGAAAGACTCATCACACACTTCTTACCTGCGGGATATTAATTTTCCTTCGCCGGTCAACAGGGTGTCAATAACTTTTGACCGATACTGTCCCATTACGACTGTGAACCCACGATGCGCCTTCAGTGTCTCTATAAAAACAAGTCTCGTCGTCTTTAAAAAAGGAAGAAAGTTTTGACATACCGCGCAACGATTTAGTGCCGCAAAAACTGATAGGCAGTACAAATGGGTGACCAAACCAGAAAGCCTATTTTTAAATTTTTAATGGGTAGTGTTAACAATAATGGCGTAATTATCACTGTTTTATTAAGGCTATTTTTTACGACACGGTTAGAGGTGGAAGCTTTGGAGAGAAGAGAATAATAGGCGCATTATTCTGGGGTGTAAAGACAAGCTGGTACAATGACAGCACATAACACGTAAGTGGCGTTGAGGAAAGAGAGGACAGAGCCGTGAGTGGGATGTGCCTGGGAGAGCATGTAATGGTATTTACAGGATCCGATCCAGGACACGTTTCTGCCTCTGTGCAGCTCTGAATGTCGGATCCCGGCATCTCTACGGAGGGCATCTGCCTGCTCTGGGTTTTTTTTTACCTGTTGGCTGCCGGAAGCAGCGCTTCCCTGCCACCGCAGGAGGCTCTGGAGACTTTTACCTCGTTAGATGAAAACCTGGGAGGGAAAAAAAGGGCCCGATTCCCGTTCCTAGGACATTCAGGGCAACTTTGCCCGTGGAAACTAGAACTGCTGTTTTACTCATCGCAGTGAGTAAATCGTGCAGGAATTTGGGCTTTCGATTTCAATTGCTATCGCTTCCAGATTCGTCGAGAGCCATAAAACTGCGGCAACCTTTTAATGTTAGAAAGAGCAGCAGAAACACGATCTGCGTGGCAAACTCCCTGATTTGAAAGCAGAAGAGTATTTATGGTGTGAATTTAATTCGATGGAAGGCATAGGTAAATGACAATCGACAGTATTTCAGTGGCTCCTGTGACGAGGCTTTTCTTTCTTTCTTTCTTTCTTTCTTTCTTTCTTTCTTTCTTTCTTTCTTTCTTTCTTTCTTTCTTTCTTTCTTTCTTTCTTTCTTTCTTTCTTTCTTTCTTTCTTTCTTTCTTTCTTTCTTTCTTTCTTTCTTTCTTTCTTTCTTTCTTTCTTTCTTTCTTTCTTTCTTTCTTTCTTTCTTTCTTTCTTTCTTTCTTTCTTTCTTTCTTTCTTTCTTTCTTTCTTTCTTTCTTTCTTTCTTTCTTTCTTTCTTTCTTTCTTTCTTTCTTTCTTTCTTTCTTTCTTTCTTTCTTTCTTTCTTTCTTTCTTTTCTTTCTTTCTTTCTTTCTTTCTTTTCTTTCTTTCTTTCTTTCTT